TCTATAAAAACTTATTGAGCAATTACCTGATAGCGCGCAACTGTGTCAAGTTCTTTTATAGCTCGAAACACTTCACCGTTAATAACGGAACATACATATTTTCAAACTAACTATAAAATTTAAAAATAATTATTGATAATATATATTAAAACGCCGATCTACTGTTAAAGACATAAGTAATCTAATTGCATCTAAACAGGAAGCAGATCTGTCATTACTAGATAAATTAGTATTCAACTTTATAAGGAAAGTCTCTTCCATGATACAAGATTTCTAATTCATTTAACAATTCAATGAAACAATATTTTCACGTTACCGAGACAATACAATGCCAGTGACATAGAACGATTTCCTTTGGACGATGAAATGAAACCAGAAGCCATCATTAATGCGGAGCCGTGAGAATTAAATCGATGCTTTGGAGGCGCGAGAACAATGACACAAACATAATCAATTGTATGCAACCGCTGCTGCATGCGCGATTGCTACTCGGAAATCATTATTACACGATGTATAGGAACTCTGTTAAGACTTCCACTACGTGTACGTTCACCATTCCTTAAGTCTTACATATTAAGTACAACAAACGTATAAGTATGTATTTTGGTTAAAAGTTTAATTTGTAATACGTAATACAAACTATGCTAACAATTGCCTAATTACTGGACGGAGGGCGCGCGCGAGTCGTGCAATTACTTCGCGTGCACATTACAATCACTGATTTGTATTAAAAAAGAGAAATCGACGCGCGCGCAACTTCTCAAACATCACCAATTACTGTATGCTGAATTTATTATAGAACCGCCATTAACTTTTATATAATGTCAAAATATCTTTTCAAAACGAACAGTTTACAATTATTCACCCAAATATTTATTTAGTTCTACATATACTGGTTTTGCAAACTCGATCTTGCACCAACGGTAGCTCGGATAAGCAACGTTTCAATATATAGTATAGTGGTCAACATACATTTGGTATTTCAATAAAACCTTGCACATCATCGATTTGCAATTCAAGGATCAGTATTTACATAATAATATAATTTAGTATGGTCCCGCGGGGCCCTAGCTGACGAAACGCGACCTTCAGTTTCGTACCGATTATCAGAGACCTTGGGCGAACCATGCGAGTTAGAACGCGTGTTGAATACATGGTTTGTGTTCTCTGTAAGCGGTGAATAATTTGAAATTCGATGTGTGACGGCATGTGGTAGATAAGGACCAAGTAACCAATTGATTGTCGAAGAAAAACTACTTTACGAACGATAACGCCGTACGTAGAAGCAGTAAACGTGTGCATTCGCTTCTAACGATCCGCTTCTAGTGGCAACCCACCCTATCGCGCGCACTACCAAACCGCCGGCAGGCGGGCAATGGCGGGCACAAGGTCACGTCGCGCCGTTTCGCTGCCGCCACCGACCAACTGCTCAAGTGAATCTCGCATTGAAAAACGTTTCCGTAAACTGAGATCATATAGGACGATACTTGTAACTCTTGTTTATACGTCTTATATATTTTTCTTACACCAAGTAAATGTTATACACAATTATTATTTCTCGAGTTATTCTCTTAATTCTCACATCTAATTTGTTAGGCATTTGGAACAGAAATAAAAACTCTTGTAATTTATAACTCGGCGGAAATTAAAAAAATGTCTGTGTGAAGATTACGAAATTAATAAGAATGTTCGTAAACTTGCACTTTCAATATGTGCCCTTGACTCATTGTAGGGCCCTAAAGTGGCGCGGAGGTCTCCGGCAATGTCACATCGCGCAGGTTTTTTCCTCTTACCCAGCCTGTATAAATATGCACATAGCACAAAATATCAATTTCCTGAATACATGATATTCATTTTTCCTATTTTATACTAAACATAATTTATAACTTTAATTATGTTTGATATTGTTTGAATTCATTAAATTGGACCAGTCAAAGTAATTTATGAATTCACTCATAATTTTTATCTAAATTGCTTGAATAAAATCGGCAAGATTACATAAGCTCGCTATTTGCAAGAGCGCGTTGAAACAGTGAAACAATAAAATTATTATGTAACGTTAATTTAGATGAACAAAATGGAGAACGGTGCGCAGCGGAATTACGAGACTTATAAAACTAATAATAATTAGTATTTCGTTATCGCATCGCAGTCGCAACACAACGCGATGTTTCCTTATATTTAGCACAACGTAGTAAACGGTTATCGTGGCCCATTAAGGAATTAAAAGGCTTAAAGAAAGCGATGACATCGGTCCTAGTGGAACCTGCGTAAGTCCATAAAATCCAGACTGGAAAATTACGATAAATCTATTAGGTTATGCTTCGAATCGACAAAGAAAACGATAAAGGCAATAGTTTTTGTAAAATCGTGTTAACGTAGAAACGTGCGGTGATGTCATCTCAGAGCGAGAGAGTACCGCCAACACAAAACATACCGCTAAAACTGTATTGACTATAGAGTGCTAACTTGATAAATACACTTTTTGCTTCATACTCTACTTTTACTATGAAATTTACCCTCGTCTAGACAAAATGACGCAACGCTAATGCACTATCAGACTTAAAAGTATGTAAACATTAATTCTCCTCTAAATATAAATCCAGTTAATTTGTAATCGTCGTTCACATTTTATCGCAGCGATAGGCCGTTGAACAAAGAACTTCTAAAACGGCTTCAGATTTCAGTGTCGTTGTGTTTTGAAGTGTCATCGCGCCGGACGCGGTCGTCGTCTCTCGTCACCGTCTCGATAACAAAGCATGTAAAAGGGTAGAGTTCTAAAAGAAACTTGTCTGCCTTGTCTCTATTTAGAACTTTAGTTACCGATGTCATATAAAAGATGCAACGAAAAAAAAACCTTTAAGTAATTAGAGACGTTGAAAAATTCGAAATTATTTCACCATTCTTTAAATTTCTATTCAAACTGGACCTATTTAAAAGAGAGTTAAGAAATGACTACTTATGCAAGGGAGGGTTCAAGCGACGCAGCGATAGAGCATGACTGAGTGCACACATGTGTTTAGGTAAAAGCGTATACGCGCCGTAAGCACATACTGAGAGAATTAAATTATGTTCTTGGCGTAATAGAACATATAATTTAAGTAATATATGCTGCAAGTATTACGGTTATTTAGTAAATTGACCTTGCAGCAAACATTTTATACCTATTTCTAATTATTTCCTGACTGATTTGATATATACATATATAAAATTAAATGTTTCATTTCCTCTTAAAATTGTTAAAAGTAATTAGGAGCAGATACTAACCAAGATGTTACATTTTAAATGTGTTTAATAACGTAATACGAAATAATTAAGTTTTCCTATTTAACACTAGATATAGGAATGATTCGGCGCCAGGTGTTCAAATTCTACCGATTAAAGGGTTTTCACATGATTTAAACATATGAAAATCCATATGTTCATTCATATGTTTACTCATGTTTTAGTAGCTATCTTTATGAGTTGATGATTCGCAATTCGTAAGTAACGTCTCGTCCGGCACCATCGGCATTGCTCGCCGATACAATTGTCGTCGAATACAGCTTTGCGTAACGTAACGGTCCGGCTACTTTCCGCCGCCCTGCAACGCTAACGGTACGCAGCGCGGACTCAACTCTATCGAATTAATTAAAATCTATCATAATCACAAGCCTTAAACATGCCAACAATTAATACATGTTCCAGGTGAGTTGCAAGTGATAGTGAAACTGCATGTTATTTATTAATTTTCAAGTTTTTCAGAAAATTATTCACATTTATTTTTATTTGAGATGAATCTTCACTAAACAAATAAGACTACAAGTTCTTGATTTTTAATAATATTATTTGCCGGTTAATGTTATTTAAACAATAATTTGATAACTAACTACAAGTGTCTTTTGTGAGTATATTTTAAGACAGGCCAGACGTAAGTAGAAATTGAAGATTGCAACTTGTCATAATTTTGGCAAACCACTTGTATAAATATCTTCAATAATTTATGGACACATTTTTCCTATAAATTTAAAAACCATATTTCCTCAACAGGTTCTTTGTAATGCATAGCTTTACATTATGTTTTTAGAATAATTAACATAATTTGAAATGTTAATAATAGATAATTTTCAGAATTATTTTCAAACTATATTTTAAGCATTGATTAAGAAATTTTATAGAATTTTTACCAGCATATAAATAATAAAGAAGTTGCCAAGGTGAAAGGAGTTATAAATGTCAAAGTCAAAGTATAAAGCCAAATGTTAAATGAAATATTATGTTAAAAGGGATATGATATATACACTACAGGGTGGTACATACACACACGCACACACACACACAAATAAATCTAGCTTTAAATCCTATTCATATCTAACACTCAAACAAAATATGTTTCAAACTTTGTGTTTTAAAATAAATTCTTCTAATGTTTAAAATAAATGGAATAATAATGAAATAATAATAAAAATATATATATTGAAATTTGTATAAAATGAAGGAGTATGATTTCCCTGGTTCTTTTATTTGCAAAGCTAAATAGGTTATTTTTATAATAAAACAAAAACACTAAACAACTCTTACTCACTATTGAGTTGTTTACTTTGATATGCATTGTGCCAAAATATTTATGCTTAGTTCAGACATATCATTATTGACTAAAAATAAGAATTTCTGATCTTTTTCCGTTAGAAAAATAAATGTTAAAGTATACTTAAATTCGCGAATTTCATGTATATCTCAATTTGTATTTCATTTATGTCTATTTTAAAATACATATACTACCAGTACCATTCATAAGAAACTTAATTTTGGCAACAAACTTTATGTCTCAGTTTGTTGGTGACTTTCGTGAGTGAATTACAAAACATAGATGATTGCCAAAGGAACAAAACAATCCAATGTTTGATTGTTTAATCTAAAATTTGCTAAACACGAACAACCGTCACAATAGGTATTGTATGCTGCTATTTGTTCATGTCAACTTATCAAAGATACCATTATAAATTGAAACGGCAACTTACCAATAACAAAAATTTCACAAATCATACAACTATTAGCCGTTCATATACAATCACTTTAATGTATCACAGTCAAATATAACACAACTATTTATTCACAAAAACACTCATTCGAATATGATACGCGATTTAATAAAAATGTTTTTGAATATGAAAATATAGACACTCGCGATGCGTTACCGAAACAGTCTTTTTCTGTCGGCCATTGCTCGACACCACAGACTAATCGTGTCGTGTCGTGTCATAAAGGTTGAGTTCTTTCGGCTTTTTAGGTTTAGTGTTGCCATTGCTTTCTGTTTAATTTATTTTCTTTTTACCTTTCCTTTTTTTCGAAAAAAGATGCTTTTTTTATTTAAAACTGGAAATTACTAAGTTTTAAGTAAAAATATACAACATTTTGGACTCTCCTAATATCCAAGGGTCAAGCAATAGAACAAAAAAAATGTAACGTTGACATTGACGGCTGACTATGACAGATGACATATGACAATGACAGCTAAATCTAGGTTCCCTGTTTGTATTCACAAATGAAAACATTATTATTTTTGCAAAATGGTTAAGCATATAAATGCTGCTTTGGCTTATAAAACTTTAAACGGACTTATATGTGTTTACAAACCTCCTCGAGTGCCAGTGCGACAAGTGCAACATACAATTGTGACCAATATTTGCAGAGGTTAAATTCTTGTTATACTTGTTCTTGGTATACTTTTTTTATAAATCCACGTTTGTAGCGAAAACATTGTCTTTCAGATTTAAATGCGTTACCTGATAGACCTCAAGAGAAAAGAGTTGAAATTATAGGTGCAACTAATGCGCCCATGACTGTTAAATTGGTGCCCAACTATGCAGACGATCCCTTGGTGTGCGGCCCCCGGTACACTCATGATGATTTTAGGTGTAGTTGGGCTACTCATCTCGGCTTATTTACAAGTGGGGTCCTGTGTAAGTACATACTTAAATTTAACAACTTGCCAGTTCATATACCATCTTTTTGTCAGTATATGAACAGGTAAGTTATAATTATTGTAGATTTGTTCATTCACATTTTGTGTATTATTTAACCTTCATTTGTGTTATAGTACTAGGCTTGAATGAAGGCACAAGGCTAACATACCAGATCAATGTGGCAAGACCAACAAGAGCTTACAAAGTGCATGGCCAGCTGGGCAAAGCAACAGACACATACTTTTGGAATGGGAAAACAATTGAAAGGTCTACATTCAACCATGTGACCAGAGCTAAGATAGATAGAATTGTTGCACATATGCAATCTGCTCATCAGAAAACCATGTTTGAGTAAGTATATAGGAGTGAAATAATTTCATGTTAAAATAAATTAAAATATGAATAGTAGAAACTAACAGTTTAAAACATGAATAATTTATTGTTTGCAGATTGTCAGGCCTACATATGGACTCACAGACCGCATACGATCTAGCTTCTCAGGGGGTGATCAGGCCTGCAAATAGCAAACTACCTATTATATATGGATTGAAATGTGTACACTTTGAACCACCCAATTTTACATTAGGTATTAAATAATATACATTACATGTTTTAATGTTGGTAAATGAATAATAGAACATTTACACATGCTTTTATTTTGTTTTACAGAAGTGCAAGCAGTTAATGAGTATGAAAAATACTTGTGGACATTGATCCATGATCTTGGAGTCCAGCTGAAGACATCAGCTTACTGCACAGGTCTGCAGTGCATTAGACAGGGCAAGTTTACATTGGACCATGCCCTATTGAGGAAACACTGGCAATTAGATCATTTAATTGATAACATGGACAGTTGTCGACAACTTATTGAAGAAAATGAACAACTGTTAAGGCCCAAATCTGCTCATTTATCTGTTTAAGTGTACATAGTTTGAAAAATTAAAAAAAAAACAAAATAAGTTAAATATTTTATTTACCTAATTAACTATTTAGAAACTTTCAACAGTATTTTGCTTTTAATACTTTTAATAAAAAAAAAATATCCCTAAATATTGTGGAGTTCAATAAAAATTATGAAAGCACTATAATTGTTTAAATAAGATGTCACCCACATATGATGATTATTGTTCATTAGACAAAAAAATATTAATAAGTAGCTTATAGGCTATTCTAGGGAGTAATCTATCTTTTTGCCTAATTTCATCCAGGTCCTTAGTGACACTTTGGAGTAAACTACTAACAATCCAATCATTTAAATATTTTAATATTTGTAAGATTTCATAGCACATTTCTAGAAATTGTTACTTTGAAAGGCATTGTCTTCTTTCATTTAAGGATTTAAGTTTTGTTTAGTCAATTAGATCTTTGTCTTGATATAAAAAGTTAAACCAAATAATGCTTCTGTGTGAAGACGTATTCTCAGGTGTTGGGCGAGGAAGATGGAGTATTAGCCTGTTTCTCCATTTGCTCTATTCTTTTGTGCCTAATCATATTAGACAAAATTCCATCAAAAGATGTTGTTTTTTTCTTTGCTGAACCTCTTAACGTGTCTTCTCCTTCTCTCCGGACGCGCAAACGCAAAGAACTGACTTCATCCATAAAATCAAAATCAGACTTTTCCTCTCTTATTGGTGAAGCGGGTATTTCTGGTTGGTTATCCTTGCAGACTGGGACTGGTGATGGAGCACGTCTACCTGGACATTTCCATTCCAAAGGTAAAGTGCCCGTTTTTTCAATTGTTTTGTATAAGTCTTCTAATTCCGCGGGATCGGGCATCCAACTTTTGCCAATGAACAATCCAGTTTTCGACATTTCGTCGTCTGAGCATGGTAAATCCCAGTCATCACTCTGAAAATCGGGCGTCACCATAATGAGAATACTTTTTTTCTATTTAGTATCCCATTCAAATCCAAAATATTTTATTTGTTTTGCTTTTTGATAGTTTTCAGGTTATATTTACCGATTTGACAAACCTAAAGCAGATTAAATAAAATTATGAAAACATGACAGTTTCGTTGATATAATTTTTGTATAATAGGTACTTCCAAAGAGTATATAAAATACTGTACTTAATTGTAATGGGTACTTCTGTTATAAAAGTAAAACATGGAAAGTCCTGTACAACTTTGTATAGGTACATACAAAATCCTACAATTTGTTGTACCTATACTGTGTACTGTGGACTTTTTTGCGCGCGCTGAAATATAACCAAAAAGTTATGACAGTGACAGCTCAGAAATTTATTGAAACGTGTGAATGTTGTTTATAATAATGTTTTCATACCGCAAGTTTATATAAAACTCTTAAGTATAATACACAAGAAATACAGTAAAAAAATGTCGTCTTCAGATAGTGAGTCTTACAGTGAAAAAGTCACTTCTTCAAGGTACCGTTGAATAATTTCTTCATAAATCTACTTTAACGGTTTTTAAATCTTACTGCTTAAAATCTAATATTTTCTTCATATTATAGACTGGGGAATTGCGAGGTTTGCGATGCGCGGGAAGCAATTTATACTTGCCCTAAGTGTGAAGTAAAGACTTGTTGTATATCTTGCGTTCGAATACACAAGAAAGAATTAGAATGCGATGGGATTCGTGACAGAACTAAATTCATCAGGATGAAGGATTTTACAGATACAGACCTGCTGAGTGACTATCGCTTGTTAGAGGAATGCGCAAGATTTGTTTATGCGGTCAGGAGAGATGAAAAAAAGAAATTTACAAGAATTGACAAGGATTTGCCTATTGTAAGCATTTGTAACACTGGTTAAATATAAGCCGTGTTTTCTCACATTAATTGGTTGCATTTAAATTTTTAGCATTTATTCAAATTAAAAATGGCAGCAAGAAACAGGGGTATTGCATTACAGTTCTTGGCCCAAAATTTTACACGACACAGTGTAAACACAACAAGATATAATTACAAGACAAACATCATATCATGGAGAGTTGAGTGGATATTTCCTAATGTTGACACAAAACCATTAAAGTTTGTGGATGAGAAATGTCCTGAACAAAGCAAGTTGTCAGGACTGATGGATAAATATCTCAATCCAAATGCACCACCTTTTGAAGGATCAAAGTCTCTGGCTTTCTATAAATCAGCAGGATTTAGTGGCATCAAAATATTGTTAAAAGGTAATTAAACTACCAAATTATTCCGTCAGCATACACCATAGTCTTTATTTTCCATTTAATGCTTAAACCATGCATAGATCTATAATTATTGGCAACACTCACTTTTTAGAAAAGGTTATGGTATGTTTACATACTCTTGTACTTCTTAGTGATTTAAATTTGTTAATATTCATTCTAGCTGAGAAAATAAGGGGATCAGCAAGAAAGTTTTTTGAACTGGATGCTACAGAAACCTTAGGTGAAAATCTGTCAGGAAAATGTATAGTTGAATTCCCTATAATATTTATTGTTCTCAAAGACCATGCATGTAACTTTGAGATCATAACACCGGGTAAGTCATTAGATTAGGACAAATCCCATATTTATTTTATAACAATTATTATTACTTATGAATACACCTAACATTTTCAGAAGATGAGTTTGAATCTAATATGAAAGAGCTTGATGAAACGAAAAATGATAAAAATGAACCTGGATTTGAAAACTCCAGGCAAAATATTGATAATCTAAGGAAAAGGCCCCGACAGTTGTTAACAGAGAAAGTGGCACAGCAGAAAAAAATGGAAATTGAAAAAGAAATAAGAGAAGAAAGGAAAAAGAGACCTAAAAACCTACTGTTTACAACAGGTTATTCATCAGAAGAAAGTATAGTTAGTAGTGACAGTGAGAATGAATCTAGTATTAAAAAGTAAAAAATAATTTTATTCTTGATTATATTATTTGATTTATTTACTAAACCTGAATAGCAATCAAAGTATTTTGAGTCAAAACAAATAAATATTCATTAGTGGCATTAATCCCTAAAACTTCTCCATATTTATCTACATTAAGAATACGCTGTTGCCCACATTTTACATTTTCCAGTTTCCCTTCATTTCTTTTTCTTAAGTTTAAATTATCATCATATGTCTTTTTGTAAATAAAAATGTGCTTTGAAGCTTCACATACTACACTATATGCGAAATTTGGTGGACAAGTAACAAATTTACGATTCTGTTTAGATGATTGTACATATCCAAATGCAAGTAGAGTCCCTTGGTGCTTGACAGGCCATGTCTCAGTGTTCACTAGCTGAGCGTATGGCTGCCAAATGCAAGCATCGACGTCATGTCGTAATGCCAATGCAGGAACCTCATCCATTTCTAGTTTGATGTCAAATAAGTACTGATGTACGCTAAGTGGAATACGATGTGTTACTTCATGGCTGTTTAAATCCATGCGAACTGAAAAAAAATAGAAATATACATTAAAATTTTATTTATGCCAATTCTACACTTCTGCTTGAAGTCATTTTATGACAAAAGGTGATGAGCAAAACGACCTTTGATTTCACCAAAACAACGAAGTAACAGTTGCCTATAGACATCTACATTTGCAGATGCATTGCATAGGAAAGAACAAATTATAGCAAGTATACTATTGCTACTTTCCATCTCTTCTTTATAAGACAAGGATGGGAAGACAAAGAAAATTATAACAAGGCCTCCTGTATGCACTCTTGATGCATGTCTTCTGCTGGTCCATTTATAAGAAAGGTTTTATTGAGGGTGTTAGGTAGGGTAGGTGTCATTAAATATGGTGTGATTTAATCCTGCACACTTACCTAGTACAGTGTCTTCTTCAGATGCTGCATCACACTCTTCAAACTCTTGAGTTGAAAGTCCTGGTACCTGCTTGTCCCCTGTCACTTCTAACTCTGAACACAAATGAGCAAGTTTCCTGTGAGCTTCTTCTACTAAACAAGCATCCAATATTTGTTCTCCATTGTTATCTCCTCCTTCTATCAGGTTGTCCCATAACATACTCTCACACTTTGAGATCAGTATGTCGACCTGACCACTCTCTTGTACATTCCATGTTGTAAACTCACTCTCTACTTTATGCTTTAGCTTACCTTCCAAGAATACTTTACCTGCATAGCTAACTTTAATAGATGAAGGTCCAACATTCACATGAAGCAATTTCTTATCAAAATTTGTTTGCAATTTCAATGTAATAGTTATGTCCTCCATTGTTTGAAGCCATGTATAAATAATATTTATTTGCTCTTTCTTAGGTTTTTCCAATATTTCACTTGCGGAGTCAACTGTAAACTTAAATGGGTGGTCAGATGCAACATAAAGAGAGGAGCAATTGGTCTCCATAGCGGCATAGTGTATTATTCCTTTGCCTCTAAGTTGTCTGAAACTTGTCTGAGTCCAATTCTTTTCATTTTGTTGTAGTTCAAATGTCACCCATGACAATATTGAATCAAACTGTGCTTTATTCTGTTCTACTGATTGCAACAAACAATGTACTAGTACGCAACCATCTTTATGCTGAGTCCTTGAGTCTACTATGATGAAATATTTCCCTTCTCCAAGTACTAAAGTGGAGTGTAATGTTTGCCATGTCTGTACATACCCAATTGCATTATTTCTGCCACCTGTTTCAATTATATGTAAGTAGCCTGTCCCATCACTGACTATGGCTAAATTAGTAGATGGAAAAGAAAGGCAAAGATTAAAATGGCCAGGTTTCCTCTCAGTATGAGCTGGAATATCGTAAACAACAGTAGTTTGAAATTTTTGGGTAAAATTATCAAAATAAATCTTTTGCACTTGTTGTTTATTGTCAATATAGTAGAATCCATAAGAATAATCCCAGTGGTCCACCACAAGGTGATTATGTAGGGCAAATAATTTTGCATGTACAAAAGAATATTGCACATCATCCGGGTATACTTTATCAACAGGAATGCTTAACTGATAATTGTAATGTGCGAGAGCATGTAAATTTAATTTATAGCCATCAAATTCGTGGTCCAAAAAGCGTCGATTAGGTCTTAATTCTACTAATGATGAAGACATTATTTGAGATTATTTCTCTGTTGATGAAATTATATTTCACGTTTGGCCAATTTCGATCGGTGTACGACTGTATGACTATTTATACCATAAAGAATTTTTATACACCAACATACGCGGAGAAATTGTATGTATAAAACTTTAATTTATTTAATTTACGAGTAAATTATTACAATATGAAGAAAATTGTGCAAAGTATTGTAATTGTAAATGTCAATGTCGAGTCGTGTAAGGAAGATGTCATTAAAAACTTACAGATCTAGATTTTTATATACTCTTTGAGAGAGATGATAAACATGAAGATTCGCATGTATTTTATTAAGTAAAGAAATTATAATTTTCAGCATTTACGTTGTCTCTGAAATAAAAAATAATTAGTTTGTTTTCACAGAAAACTAATGTACTTAATGAAATCATCAAAATTAAAATATAGTTTCATCGGTATTCTCTACTTCTCTACAATCGATCAATTCATTAAATGCTCTTTGATAGAAAAAATGACGTGACGTGACGTGTGGCGCCAAACCAAAGTATAGTTTGAAGTTTGACACACATGTTTTAATTTTAAACAGTTTTTAAGAGGGATAAAATTATTGTTTATTAATGTTGGTTTAACTGTAGAAAAGGAAGAATAATGCCGTACGAAAAGAACAAATGTTATACAACCATGCCTTTTTGTATGGATACTAAAAGGGTATCTATTTGTTTAACAATATAGTTTGTTACAAAGAAAATTGATTAAGGCAGTTAATTTTAATTTTCAGACCGACTTTTACATCTATTACGATGTCGAAGACTTAGCTGCTAAGTGTGAAATGTTTAAAGATGAAAGTTTTAAATTTCGCACAATTGGCCTTCTTAAAAGTACAAATGGGCGATTTTTTATTGGTGGTGTATGTATTTTATATTCTTTTATAAGCAAGCCAGCGGCACTAAACTTGTTAAGCCGTCTACTTACCATATCAGTTTTTCCTTTAATATTGGTATTTATTCATAGATCAAACTTCCTATGAATAACACGGATATAAACATAAGAGTATCAATGGTTTACATGAAGACACATCCCAAATCTACTTTGATACCATACCCTATACAATTGTTTGGAACTATTCAGTGGAAGAAGGAGCCTGTTATTATTGCTTACATTCTGCAGGTTTGTGTACTTTGTTTAGTCTATGTATTCCGCTGCTTTAAACAGAAAAATACATTGATATCAATTTATTCAATGTGAATGACTCGATTTTTTTGTACTAGTGTTTTGGCACTGGAAAGACATTAGAAAAGATGGGTAATTTCAGGAGTGGTGTAGAGTCAGTTACTATTTGTTATATTTTTCTAGGCTTTGAATACAAAGATGGCAGTGAGATTGATAGATACATTAAAATCAGTGACAAGTGTTCACCTTGCGAGGGTGCCGATGAAAGATAATAGTTTAATCAATGGAGAAGAAGATAGTTGATCTAGAATCAATGATTCTCTTATTAAATCCTTTTTTCACCAAAGTGAAATGGAGACTGATAATATAAGATAAGGCTGCGTTGCACTTTCACTTTTGATGTGAATCAAGCTTAAAGCTCCCATCCATCATGCCAAAGGCTAATAAGAAGACTGAATTAAAACATATTGCTTAAACTTTGGTTATATTTAGCTTTAATAAGATATATTTAACGAGGTTGTGGCACTTTTCTCATGAAATAAGGTAAAACAACAGTAGTTTAATTTAAAATAATAAATAATATCAAAATTATGCATTTATTTCAATCGTAATTAAATACATTAACAAATAGAAAGATAACACATATAATATACAAACAGTCCGTCACCATCCATGTGGGGTTAGCAAAGTGAATGTTGATATTGTAATGCAGCATGTTGCAGAAATTGGCTACGTTTACATTGTAACACTAGAAAAATAACTAATTCACGATTTTATAAGAGACAATGATTTTGTACCAATAAATAAGGCAATTTTTTATTAAGAAAATAATCATGAGAACTTTTTATAAAATAACAAGACAAGTATATTGTTTGCAAGGAGTCTAAAGCTGTCTTAAATACAATGTAAATATAAACTATTTTAAGCAATTTAACTAAATACTAATGCTAAATTTTAAATCATGTTATAGAAAACTGTTACATGCGGATTCACACATCATGTTGGAATGATTCATAAGACCAGCTCGAGTTTTAATGTATTGAGAATAATAAATGTCAGTCGGGAACTAAATATATAAATTTACAAACCAAATTGCATCTGCTAATATTGTGATGAAAGTAAGTATTTCTACTTATATTTGTTAAATTTACTTTTTAATCAATATTGATTGGAGCAGGTAAGAATTTCTTATGAAGTGCTAATCAGAATACTGTTTGAACAGGTAACAAACAAGCTAGCGGCCACCAACATTCGCGAAAACATTGAAATTATTACTTAAAAGTAAAGGTAAAATTTGAAAATTTGCCTCAATTCTGGCTCCTCTGAAAGTAGCTTGCTTTAAGGAAAAAAAAACTTTTAAGTCTTAAAGGTCAACAATTCAAATGATGATGTAGAATTGAAAACATTTAAATTATGTATATCTTTGCGAGTTATTCTATGTTTAGAAATATTTGTAAAAGTGTTTACTTAAAATAAATTTTATTTCTAAAACTTTTGTGTTGGCAATAACATCAACCATTTTATTACATAGTAGCAGTGTTGTGAGGTATAGACAGACATTCATCACAATATTGGTTGCATTGACAGTAAGGTAGGAGTGTAGAGCTACAGCACCCAGAAGTAGAGCACAAACACAAGTAGTATAACTGCCCCCGCGGTCACCTTCACTAGCATTGACTTTGTGTTCAGGTAGGTGGCGTCCTTCTTGTACTTCTGTGACATCATAGAAAGGTTCTGTGTCTTTGTGTCCAACTCTGGAAATATTGCAAAATTATGGTGAATCATACAAAATAATTTTGTACAAAAAAATGTGATAATATTGCATGTTTAAAAAACAAGAACAGTTGTTGTTGCAGGGAATTCTTGTTCACTTTAAAAAATTAAAATATTATCAAAAAATATAAATATTCTTTTATCCTACACAACTGGACTATGAAACTAGCTTTGCTTGAAAGTCAAGGAGATGCCTGAAATGACCCATACCACAATGATAATTCCATTTCATATAGATATCCTAAACTAGATGTATCATATTGTTGGAAGGGTGGAAGAATCTGTGCGACTGTAGTATCATAGTATGGTATTAGGTTGTAATTAACCAGAGAGCACGGCGCCGCGTTGCAGCACATCGTCGATGTTCTGCATCATGATACGCTGCACGTCGCCCAGCTGGCCGCCGAGCTGTGCGGCCGCGCCGGAGCGGCGGGCCCGCGCCCCGCCCTCCGCGTACTGCTTGCGTGTTCGCTGCATCCACGTATCGAATTCTATAAATGTGTACGGCCTCGTTACTGTGTTCACCTGAAAGTCACATGCATAATGTTCATTATAATGAAAATTCAAAAGGTGTAAAATGTTCATATACAACTTTTAAAGGTTGACTGCCTTGACTTTACTGAATATTTATTAAAATAGAACAAAATGCTTTTTGTTCCTTAAATATTTTAAATAACTAGATACACAAATTCTTACTCTTTTTCCGTATTGGTGGTAGAACTCTTGTGCTATCTCTTCTAAATAGCTGAATGCAAGTCTTTTACTGTAGTTTCGTTCACAGAGCACCAGGTAACAGATCTCATTCTCTATTAAATAGCTGCAACAAAACAACATTTATCATTAATTTCTTTTTATTTTAGTAAAATATTGAAAAAAAAATATGATAGAACTTACGCATATTGTTTCTAATTCTAATGTTTATATTGTAATAAGGGAATAAATATAAAGCAAAAGAACTGAAAATAAAAAGCATTGCAACTCACTGAAAGAGGTAGGGCCCAGTTTCTATGGAGCAGCGAATTGGTGACTGGGGACCTAGTTTCCTAAACAGCATTTTAGCTTGATTCTGATACTCCAGTACATTGCAGCCGCTCTGCGAAACGAAACGATGACAGCAAACGAAATTAAACATAAATAAAAAGGAAGGTGCTAGCATTGTTTAAGTTCAATATAACATCCAAGAGGACTCTTTAAGTTACATTAACTAGAACAAATAATTATTTCATCACATTAAATCATCGTTACCTGCTCATCCTCTTGCATTGTAGCTGCTAACGGTAGGCCGTCGACGACCCTGGCGATCATTGTCATTAAAACCATTTTGTTTCTGAATAAATGTCCCTTTGTAAAATTGAAAAACTTAGTCCAATTTATTCGTCACTTTGCACGACTTTTTCTTTCTCATTATTAGGAAAATAGGAAAACAATTCGTAATATTTTGTGACAGCTGCTATTACACGTCAAAACGATTTGACAAGATAACTGACAACAACACGTCAGCTGAAAAAGGTGAATGTTTTGGTGAACCGTTCAGAAACGGAAATATAATAAATGAAAGTAAAATATATTTTACTTTTTGTAATAATTTTTATGTATGTTGATGATGTTATGCTACAAATTTATTTTAACCGGTGAAAGGTTTATTTGTTAGCTTTGCCAGAAAATATTTAAAACATACTTTTGGTCCGATCATCTTATTTGAGATGAGGTACTGCTACGATCTGTCATGAGCCTTCCGACTCGTAGGATCTCGGTGTCCCATGGATTATAGGTTGTAAGAGATCGATTAGCAGTTTACGAGCGAGTAACTAATACGACGCGAGCTCATAAGACCTCGGATTCTTTTGTGGCACACGATCTGATCGGTCTCATTCGATTGCGATCTACTCACAGTCTGATGTGATCCCACATGGCCAGACTAATTGAAATAAATTTCACTTATGTTAAGAGAACTTTGTCTCTACTATTGTTATTCTTTCCATACAATGAAATACGACATTCTATTATATTTCATCATCATCATCATCAGCTCACTATACGTCCCCATCAAGGGGCTCGGAGCCTACACTAAGTTACGGGTGACTAGGCCATAGTCAACCACGCTGGCCAAGTGCGGGTTGGTTGACTATTATATTTATCTTCATAAAATTGCATTACCTTGATGTCATAATCAATAATCACACAGGTGGGCACAGATAAACCAAAAGTTAACTTCGTTAATCGTTCGAGGATTTTCGAGACTCCAATTTTATTAATATGTCTAGATACAAAGATATAATATTAATTATTTTTAGGGTTCCGGACCTCATAAGAAAAAAACGCAACCCTTATAGGATCACTGTTGTCCGTCCGTGTGTCTGTCAAGACCCTTTTTTTTGTTTCTTATCTACGCAATAACAAGAAAATATTTTTTGGCCGCTCCTTAAATGACCTATATTTTTTTATAAATAAACGTTTTTGTTAAGTTTAGTTTTATTATATTTTAGGTGCTACGTGAAAGTATAAAGCGCATTTTATTATTTTCATTGCAATTGAACCCTAAGTGTTGTATTTTACTTATTTGTATCTTACTTAGTCATAGTGTTATGTTAAGCAGATTGTTAACTCCGTTAAGAAAAGACCGCGACGCGATTTCTCTGGTGATGCGAATGTCCATCAGAGTCGGATCACTTAACATGAGATGAAAAGCTGCTCCTTTGCCTCATTCTAAAAATAATTACCGTGGGCCTATGAACAATAATTTATACTATTGTAGTGTAGCATTTATAAAGTTATGTTTAGTTTCTTTGAGTCACAGAATGCGAAATTCCATTGAGTTATCATTATGGTTTGCGTGCTATACCCATTCGTTATGAACAAGATAAGTGTTAGCTTATCATTCTTTTATGTAGTATTTTCAAAGAATAAAAGTAATCAGGACACCATGAGGGCGCTGTAGAAATTTCGCTCAGGGCTCTAGTAGAACTTAACTTACTGAGACCGAGATTTTATTATCGTATATTATATACTGGCTGTCGCCTGTGACTCAGTCTGAGCGGAATTCAAAAAATAAATTAGTAGCCTATGTGTTCTTCCATACTCTACATCTATGTCAAATTTCAGAGGTGTCCATGCAGTAGTTCCGAAGATAAATTCTAACAAACATCCAACCAACCATCCATCCATCCATCCATCCATCTAAACATTCGCTTTTGTGTTATTAGTACTTATCTTGTAGAACAGATACTTGGCGCACTGGCTGTTGTCTGTATAACAGGTGAAGTCTGAAGTGGTGAGGAGAGGTTGTAAGAAAAAACGAGACGGTTGTATTTTATTGTGGATATTTTATTAACATTATCATCATGCATCAAATTTATGTGCTAACTCATTTACACTTATAACTAACTATACATAGAAAAATAACTTAACTATTGGGCAGAAAATACACTATTTTGTTAAATTAATCGTCTAAAATTAAAATTAGCAAATCGGACTTTATTCATGTAAATCTAAGAAGCAAATATAACGCAAAACATCACCGAACATATCTCTCAGAACGACAAAGAAATAAAGGTTTGCGACAACAAGGTCGTCTTGGTAAACTCTACAAACATTGTCAACGATTTAAATATAATAAAAGAGGACAATTTTATATAAATGACATAAAATCACTGGACAATTGTTAACGAGCGAGAATATAATGAAGTGTAGGCAACTTGTCTCCGCTGCCGCCGCGCCGTCTCCCCTCTACTGCCTATACCCAATTCACTAACCTTCTCATTGCTTTCGCGCAAGTAATTTCTCTTTTTCCTATCTAGCGACACCAAAAACAATATTGCAAATGGGTCGTGAGGGTGTGCGTTTTTTGGATTATAAATATTGAATGTATTTACAATGTTGGTGCAACCGACATTACTCCACCGCCCCGCGCCAATCGGACGATTGAGATATAATAAGAATGAAATTTATTTTACTAAGACTAGGATCGATTAAATTAATTTCATTAACGATAATTTTTTCAAGGTGCTGTTAAAATTTACATTGAAAAATTTAAGTACATTATTTTAATTAGACTTTGATTTTTCAACAACATCAATTCGACTAAAATTATTTAAAAAAACATTTCGAGCATCTTTTTACATGCGTGCTCACACATCCCGCGCACCGCGCACCGCGCACCGCGCACTGACCGGTAACTCTTCAATTCACATTTCGATCACATCGCAACTCGCCACTCGCCACTCGCAACTTGCTACTTGCGCATACACTACTCTACCCAGTCCCGCACATTCTGAGAGCGCTTCGCCGCCGTCGCCTGGTCCATTCATTATCTACTACACGTTTATTTTAAATTTTATTTATTTATAATACATTAAAATTTGTAACCTACCGAACGAAATTTCCTAGAAAGGAAAATAGAAGTTGACGACCGCGAGGCGAGGCGAGGCGAGGCCCGCGCACCGCGCACCGCGCACCGCGCACCGGACTATTATATAAATATTTCAATGTCTCACAAACAATTAACAATTTACATCTATCAATTTCAGGACAGTTTTCAATAAAATTGATTTAAATAAAATGTAAAGTGGAATGCGCGAACCGGGGGGCGCTTCCGCCGCTTCGATGACGGAAAAATAAATAAGTTAAAACTATAGTTATATTTACAAAAGCATAAGAAAAAGTGCTGAAAGAAAGAGCCGTTGAGAAATGCTCCTACCTAATATATAACATACGATTAAACTTCACTTTTATATTATATGTAAATATATATATATGATAAATCACATGGAACGGGCACTGGATTCATTCAAGGAGCCGGACATGAGATCGTCATCTACAGAGACTTTGTAACCCACTAACGCACCGCTGCCGGTAATTTTTTTTAACCTGTATTTCGGTTGGATTGGTCTAATAAATATATATATTTTATATATATATGCATAGAAAATTTTATAAAGTGTATGATTTATACGCTCGTCCGTTTGTATCCTCGGTCCCACGTCTTAGCACCCATTTTACTCTACACACTTCCCCCAAGGCTTCACTAACCCTTCTCAGCTGTTTAGCGAAGTGAGCATCCGCTGTACTCATAACTACTATCATGATGCCTTACGTCCTAATATATTGATATATTTCGTTTTTAAATACAAAAATATTGCATATGATAACTCCGGGGAATTTACTAGTGTTGCTTGCGGATCGGTCACTTCGCTAACTGTTAATGGACGGGACGTGCGTTCCCTGCAACCCTTCGCCCCCACCTGCCTTAACCCCGCCCCTGCCTCCGTGCAACAGCCGTTGCATGCTGCATGCACTCTGCACGTTGCAGACTGCATGCTGCACGCTGCACGCTGCACGCTGCAAGCCACTCGCCCACGCAACACCGAGGCGTCTATTGTTGTGAAGTCAACGTTTTGCGGCTCAACGAGCTAGTTCTATCATCTATCTAGTTAAAAGTATTATGATTCGTTAACATTGGACCACAAATCGTAATTAATTATTAATAATATTTATTCAGGTAACAAAAAATAGAGGTCTCGCGGCGACGTAGTGTTGTACCGCACGCGGTCACGTGACGGCATGTTTTCACAATTCCTGATATGCAGAGAGGTTAAGCTTGTATATGAATATGGTAAATAATAATTTATTTTGATATTTGATATGTTGCGGTTCCCGCGAGACCCCTGCTGACCCACGGCTTCCTATCGTACAATTAAATAAACGTAATAAACTAGAACATGTCCTCTTACAACAGCTCACTTATAGTAAACATCTATTTATTATTATATAACACAATTAACGCACAAAAATCCATACCTTAATCATTAATTTATCAGTTTTCTAACAAAAAGTTGGCAGTAGGTTTCAGTACACGAGTAGAATTACAATTTGATTCCACGAACAGAGAACCCTCAAATAATATCATTCAAAATTCGGTTTCAATGAGACGAAGACTGGAAATAACGTAAACAGACCTAAAGTAAGTCGGAGGCGCACCTCGCCTTGCTGATGGAGATAGGTTTCTTCTGCTTGTACTTTTGACTTTCTAGTTGCGTCTCTTTTTGACAAACACAATGAGATAACGCAAAAGAGACGCACGCAGGTAAAGATAGTGGTCAAAGTGCGCCACCGAGGTGCAGACTCCGGTCATATCAAGGTAACAGCGAGTCAGACAATATAAATATACGTATATATATATGCAATGGTTACAAAGAGTGAGGTTTTTCAATGAATCAAGTAACAAGGTGTATATGCAAATGGCTGTAAGCACCAAAGATGTCATACATATTCCATCCAACGGTACAATACGAAACTTTTCATATAATATAAACATTTTACGTAAATATTTCTTTATAATATAAACTCTTATTTATACTATAATATTAAACTAATTGCAAATCGTAAAAACTGTATGTATTATTTGAATAAATTGTATATTTATAATATGTATGTTTGCGTAGTTTTGAGGTAGGAAGTTCAGATTTCGTACAGTCGATCGAGGAAGTGTCTATCGACAGTAAATATGCAATATATGTATAGAAATTTCATTACAAACATTTAAAAATTCGTTTCAACATCATACAAAACTCACTCCATCCGCAAATAACATCTAGCAAATTTAGTATTCCATTCTGAAATTCCCCTAAATATAGGTAATATATAAACATTTGAGCAATCAATTTCGTCTCCTATTTTGTATAAATATTAAATTCCATAATAAAGATTATATTAGTACGATTTGAGAATAATAACATTTATCTTAAGAACAACATACATTAGAAGCGATCGGGGAACGTAACACGCACGACGATTTGACAAATACAAAGTTTATAAAGAAGTTAGTGGAAAACGTAATGAAAGAGCGGAATATGACTCGACTCTAGAATTAGTTACGTATGACAGAAAGTCCCGTCCACGATCCGAGATTCCCGAGGGCGCGGGAGGGCGCAGGAGGGCGCCGTACGGAGCGCGGCGCCTACGCCAGCGAGCAGTCGATCTCGACGATGTCTTTGGGCACGTCGACGAACTGGTAGACGAGCCGTTGGCCGTCGACCTTCGCGAGGATGCCGCGCTGGTAGTAGTAGCGCAGCGCGCGGCCCATCGTCTCATAGTTCATGTCGGGCTTATTCTTATGCAGACCCCAGAGGCGCGACACCGCTTTCGAATCTACCAGCTTGAAGACGCCCTTCTCGCGGTTCGTCCACTTGATGTAGCGCGGGCAGTACTCGCGGTCTTGCAGCAACTTCAGCAGGAACTCCCACAAGTACGTGGTGGAGCCCTCACGGCTCTTGCGCTTGACTCCGGGCGTAGGGGGCGCGTCACTGCGCGGCCTCTTCTTCGGCTTGAGTTTGTTGTGGTGGTGGTGCCGCTGGTAGTCTCCAAAGTCGAACACGGAGTAGGGCAGCTCTTCGTGCGCCAGCGGCGGGGGCGCAGGCGCAGCGAAGTGGTGCCCACCCCCGCCCGCGCCCCCGCCTCCGTACCCGTAGCCATACGCCTCGCGCTCGTTCACCGCACCCACTGCAACACACGACAGACAACGTCAATATACACATTCGACATCATATTATCAAGATTATGGTTATTAGCAAATGTTGTGCAGCGGTTTACTATTACAGTTGCGTTGGAGACATGCACCGCCGGCGAACAATAGCCCAATTTAAAGGCGGTGGGTTAAGGCGCCTCAACATTGTATGTTCACAAGCGCGGCCGCTAAACAATTGTGGGACCCACGCGGCTCACAGCATGAGGCTGGGAGACGCGGTCCACAATCTATATTTTTAAACTAAGCCTCGAGTATTTTGTAAACAAGATTTGGCAGGTTTCCGTGCACAATCGTTGCTGTTCGCTCTCCTAGTAGCGATTAGAGTAGTTGTGTAATTCATGGCAGGATGCTACGAGTAGCGCAAAGCACACTCTATCATAAAAATTACATGATTTCAATACAATTTTAACACTTTTTCAGATTAATGGTTTAATGTTAACTATATATATATATATATATAATATATAATATAACATAGTGTATTTATGTGTAGGTAATTATGATTGTAAAGATAATATCGATATTAGTTTGCGTCGTAATTTTACTACTTTGTAAATGTAGATGGAGCACGTTCTAGAAGATAGCGGGGACGTGTCGTAATAATTAAATGGACATGAATCAAACGCAAGTTAAAAAATTCACCTAAGCTTTGATAAGAACTAGTTGAAATAGATAAAGTCGGCTAGATTGCGTCAAGCGACGCCCGCCGCCTCGCCTCCTCGCCTTGACCCCAATGCCTCGGCAGTCGACAGCTCGCCACTCCGCTGCCACCAGCCGCTGTCCAGTCGCGGTTACAACGTTATCCTCTATGCTATATGTCACCATTTTATATTAAATCTTTAAAAATTGGGGTTACGTTTATGATAAAGTATTATTTCATTACACAATTCGATAGTGGTCAGAGGGAACCGTTCCAATTTTTACCATTAAAATTTGGATTAGAGGTGACGTAGCATTGCAAAGTAATTTTTAATCTTTACGAAGTGATATTTTGTAGGAGGTAGATTCGTATTATAGGTTTGACTAGTGGCTACGCACAGCGTATGTATTTATAGTAACGCTGTAAACACCGCGCCATGGACGCGGCCGCCATTTTCTTTCTAATATTATCTAAGTCGCGTATTTTCGCGCGGCTTATCGGCGGTCGTTGACCCCGGCGCACGTGTTTCCGCGCCCGTGCCCGTGCCTCTGCCTCTGTTGATGTCTCAGCACATGTTTTGACAAATAACAGGACATACAACGCTCGATACAAAACTTTATCTGTTCTCATTATTTATTCGGTTTGAATCCTAAGTACAAAAGGGTATATGTTTTTCGTGAATAATGTATGATGCAGAATAAATCTTTTATTTTTTTGTAATTAATGTGTAATTAGATGGGTATTCTTCTTCTATGTGACATAGTTGGGTTTTTTGACTAGCAATTCCTAGTTTGACTTGTACAATTTGTTAAATGGAGACAAAATTTCCAATGGAAACAGGATACAGCAAAACGTTTAACTTTATAATGCATATAATGCATAGAATTGTACAAAGAAATGAAATAGCAACATCTTATCGTCACAGGATGTTTGTGCATTATCAAGATAAGATTGTTATTTTATTTTGGAGAAAGGAAATTTATTTTGATACGGATCAACTAATATCATTAGACATATCAAGCTATTAATAGATATTATTGAGTTGGGAGCGAACAATGTTTTAAAGATCTCTTGCTTAACGCACACAACAATATTAAGAATCTGTACAATTTTCCTCAAACGTTCTCACCGCGTGTATTTCCGCGCGGCAACCGGCTACACTTGATAAAACACCACGACGCTGACGCGACCTAGCTTGTGTGCGCTGACAGATTTCGACACAGCTAATAATTTCGCGAATCAATGAATCATTTCTGATTACGTTAAATTTTGCATATATCTTCAATCACAATGTTAACAGGGAGTGTTCACGTATTATACATTTGTACAAATAACTTTTTTAATCTGTCTTAATGTGACAAGGGTGTTTACAAGTCTACTTATCATTTTAGGACATCTGTCCCGCTCAGCGGCTAGGGTAGGAAATGGGTCTTTAATACGGGGTTAACCTAAATACAATGTTTATAGAGCGCCGGCTATCTGACGAGGCTTTTAGGGATGGTAACATTTGAATATATTATAAATAAAGCAAGAGCTTTATAAAAAATTACCTAATTTATATGCTTTGAATTAGGCACAGTTTATATGATATGGGTAGTCGCATTATGTTAATCTTTACTAATTAATCTTATGCAGAACCTGATAAAACATCGTCATCGCATCTTTGAATAGTATTTGTCATACGATGCGACGAATTATTTAGAAATGAATAGTCAACTAAGATAGTGTTATTTGTTAGTGAATTTAAGCCGTGAGAGAGTATTGTATGCGTACGCGCACGGCGCAAAGCACAAGCCGGAGTAACGGTCGGACAGGGCTCGGGCAAGGCGAGTGTTTGCAGTAGTCGCGTCGCATCGGATCTGTTATTTACAATTTAATGAACCGTTCCCTGAACGCGCAACATAAAATCCCTCGCGCCTGGGAAGACGCTAACAAAACAGAGTAAAAAACTTGCATTTTATGCGCCGCCGTTTCTATTTTTAACCGGGTGGACGCATCCTACTGGTTTCGCTGCTGCAATATCAAGGTTACGCGCCCGCTTGTAGTTCTAGAATGTCATCTCCAGTCGGCCGCTCCCGCGCGGGTAAAACGAGCATACGTCCCCCGTAGCCGAGCCGAAGTGAACCGTAATGCGTAGGGATAGCGGGGATAGTTGGTCGGCTCGGCTCCGGGATCGTTTTATTCCCGGATGCAAGTGTGCGAACTACGCTTAGAGGCGCAGGGGCGCAGGGGCGCGGGAGGACGCGGGGGCGAGGGAGTAGGCAGGACCGGTCTCGTCGCGCATCCCGCGTTCGCAATAAATGGGTTACCCCACAAACCTCTTGCGATACAAACTGGTGTGCTGTTTTACTGCCTCTAATAGCGGACACACGTTACTTGGTGTGCTGTACTCACGCTGGATGCGGCGCGCGTGTGAGCTGGCCGGCACTGTATGTATACGTCTGTGTAGCGTATTGCATCTAACGCTCGAAACTGAATATTATGATAACAGAGCGGGGTAACCGTAACATAGTGAAATCAAAGTAAGCTAATAGTTAAAATGTCTTAGAGGACGTTGTCACTGCTCCTAATGACTTCCTCGTTAGCCGGGGCAGTGATGTTGCTGCGCTTTGCGTCGCCTTGTTGTGTGATAACGTTAACGACTCGCGTTACTTAATTTATTTAAAAAAGTTGTAGGTGTTGCGATTATATAGAAAAGATGCATCGAAAAAATATTAACGTTACAAAATATTAAACAATTTAGATGATAACAACTTTCTTTTTAATGTTTGTGTAATACAGGAAACGTGGTAATCGCCGCGTATCTGTGACGCCGCGCTTTGCGAAATGTTTTATCGCGATATGCGATGTCAAGGAGATATGTTATCGGCCAGAACGTTTCCTCCAAGCAACTGAAATGTGCACAAATTATGCGAACAACAATACTTTTATCGGACGAGTAGTTATTTTTTTGAAACGGAAGAGATAGCGCAATCACCGCTGCAAATGTCATACACGCCTCATACAAATAATGGAAATGTTTGTTATTATTATAGTTTTGCATCATTTTTATGGCAAGATGTTCATTTAAATTTCTCTGAGACCACTTCTCTCGTGATGCTGTACAACTACTCTATATACTTTAAAATTAAGAAAAAATATCTTGCTCAGCTTTATGCGTTATTTTTTTTAAAGTGAAGTTTAAAAATACTAACCGAATGAAATTGTAAACGTAGCTTTCTTTGTCTCAACTTAGTTTCATGTAATGTTGTTGTTAATTTTCTTAAGGGAAGGGAAGGGAGCATCGCATCGCATCGTGACGAGCGAATGGATGCATAACTATCATAGTTTAATTGTGATTTGAAAACAATGCAATTTTTATTCAGAGTCATATCCTCTCGGAGGCACAATGGCGAGTGGCGACGTCTTCGTCCTGCACGACCGGAAGGCGGTAGTGGAGCCCTGCGCCGCATCTAGGGCTATCATTGAGCACAGCCTTTAGCACAACTGATGCAAATTATAATTAAATATGATTAGGACTATTCTATGGAATTTGTCTCGTCTTAATAAGTTAATGAATTTTTTGAATTACAATTTGGTTCAAATTAATCAAATAAAATAATTAATCGATTTCAGTTATATGTCGTATGATGGGTTATGGTAACCCTATCGTTGCGCGTGATGTATGTAAGTGTGTGTGTGTGTGTGTGTTTGTGTGCGCGTGGCGTCGGTTGCGGCGCGGGCGCAGGCAATGACCAGGAAATGACGCCGCCGGTTGACCTTCACACAGGCACACACACCAGCGCGCCGCACGGCTGTGCCCGCGCCCGCGCATCCCTTTACTCCCGGCTTCCGACACCGCGCAGTGCTGCATCATTTTGCATCAATGCGCCATTTTACACAAGAATATATTCTTCAATAGACAATTGGTTTTATCGATCCAAGAAGAAGTAAAGTTAAAATTAACTGTTTTATTATGTTAGGAAGTCGGAGATTTCAGTCACCTCAGCTCAGCTTACTTATAAATATCTCTCTTGTAAGTAGAATAGTGAATCATATTCTTACAAAGTTACAAGTTAAGCCGCATATCTGTAAGCTAATTAAACTATTCAGAAACACAAAAACGAGGTAAATTTATAAATAAATGTAGCAAATATAAGTTAAAAATGAATGTATCATACATTTCACTTTATTGGTAATGTTAATGTAATTAAGAGCAACTTATATAATACTAGTAGTTGTTATCAAAAGCCGTAACAAATATCGAGTTGTTTACATCATTTGAAGTTAAAAAAATATTGCAATGAAAATGGCGCGTATCTGAGGAGCGGCGAACCGACGCTGCGTTAAGTAAGG